TAGCGCCCTCATTAACATTATCACACAGCATCCTCCTGATCTGTCTCGCCCTCCACACTTGTCAGCACCCTCCTGACCTGGCAGCGCCTATCGTACTTTATAGCGCCCTCCTCACCGTACAGTGCCCTCCTGACCTGCCGCCATCCTCCTCACTGTATAGCGGCCTCCTAACCATGCAAAGCCCTCCAGACCGGCGCCCTCTACGTTCAGCGCCCTGACAAGTCCGTGCCCTTTTCACCGCAGACATTTTTCATCCTGATCTGTCGGCGCCCTCCTGACCGTACATCGCCTTCCTCACCTTGTCCGCGCCCTCCTCTTTATACAGTGTCCTCCTGACCTGTCAGCGCCCTCTTCACTCGTATAGTGCCCTTCTCATCGTACAACATACTCCTCACCGTTGGCGCCCTCCTGACCTGTCGGCGCTCTCCTCACCATACAGCGCCCTGCTGCCTTGTCGGCGCCCTCTTCACGGACAGCGGTTTTCCAGATCTGTCGCAGCCCTTATCACCGTGCAGTGCTCTTCTGACCTGTCAGCGCCCTCGCCTGTCGGCGACATCTTCGCGTTCAGCGCCCTCCTGACCAGCCTGCGCCTTTTGCAACGCATAGCGCCCTCATCACCATGCATCGCCCTCCCGACCAGTCAGCGTCGCCGTTCATCGTACAGCACCCTCCTGACATGTCGGCGCCCTCCTCACAACACACCGGCCTTCTGACCGGTAAGCGTTCTCCTCACCATGCAGACAATGCAACACTTGACAATTAGGAAAGCGTTAAGTAGCCTATGCTTAACCCTCGCCGGCACAGGCCATTTTGCGTCATTCGACGGCACAAGGGGGGTACGACCCCCCCTCGCGTTTGGCCCCTGATTGAGCTAGAGCTTCGCGGAAAAACGAGCGTGTTGCCCGTCACGAGAGGAAGCCGATGATATCCAATTTTAAGATCCTAGGTCATCGGGTGACCTTCTAGGTCAAGTCAATGACCCAAACATCAGGAATATCGGGACCTGTTAGAAAGTCGTAAAGTGTGGCTGCTATGGAGTTCTCCGGGGTGCTGATCACGAATATCGTGTTAGTTTTGATCAGAGATGATGTCTTTAAGCATTTAGACCAGGTCGGGTCAGGTCAGGTCAGGTCAACCGGTAGAGGTCGTGACGGGTATTCGTAATACGTGTCAACCGCCTCTGACAGCTTCGTAACATGTTACGAAGGCACCAAAACTACTTCGTAAATGTTCAAATGGTTGCTAAATTCGAAATCAGCTCCAAAAACTGGCCTAGGAAGATGTAAAACTCGAAAAAGTAAACCGAGGTCACCAAAGGTCGATGACCTGACCTGACCTTCAGGTGACCTTGACATCCACCCTAATGCATAAGAGCAACATCAAATCACATGTTTGAACGTTTGAAACCACGAAAAGCTTGCAAACGCGCGGCTAATGCGAGCCGACATACGCCGAATCGCGATTCCGGCCAAATATGGTCTCGGAAAGTAGGTCACAGGTCAAAGGTCATTTGGGTCAGGGTCATGAAATTTTCAGGATAGGTGTACAATTGATCAATGCGAGGGTACTGAAAGTTCCGTCGCGATCGGCCGCTTTTTACGCTAGTTATTCGCGAAAAACCTTAGGGGGGGTTGCATCAACTCAACTCCCTGTGCCGGCGAGGGTTAAAGTGATTTTAGGCGCAAAGTAGTAATGAAGCAATTTCCGGAAAGTAAAAGGATGACAACGTTTCCAGCGTTTCCGGAACGTTTCCGGAAAGGAACTTGTTTACAACCGTGACCCTCAAAATCGTATTTAAGGCCAAACTTGCGGGGAAGGCCAGCTGACAAGTGTACGCGCCGGTGACGTCACGGGTAATGTTAAACATTCGGGCGCCCGGCACATAGGAAAGCTCGGGATGACAGCCCCCTGAAGTCACCTAAGGTGAGGTCACAAGGTCCAGTAAAAAACCATGTCTCTAAAGAAAGTGGTCCAATCGTTACTACAGCTTCTCACTTACAAGCTTTAAACTCGGTCAATTAATTGAGGGCATCAGTATCAACAATTCACATATTTTGGATTTCTCATACCTGCGAGCTAAGGTGAGGTCAGAATTGTGGTATCACCATTAAATAGCAGTGGGGAAAGGTACAAATGTCCACTTTAAAAGAAAACCCACGTCAAAATGCGAGATATTTTCAGAATCACAATATCTCTGCCCATATGCAATGTGCAGAGCGCAGCTGACGGCCAACTTGCAGTGAGTCAGTGAAGAGTCAGCCGGTTCAGGATTTAGTGAGTGGGCCAGGGACATTAGATCCAGAGAAAAAAAAATATTCAGTTTATAAAACGGATCTTGAAAAAGTAGTTTTGGTGCGCATTTCCAAAGATGACTTGTGAGTTTGCTACGCAAGAATATCGTCCGCACCCTGTAGGTTAAAGAAAGAATGCACCTAGTCTTTCCGGTACAGTGTTAACACAAGGCCTCGACAGAAAATGATAACATTGTTTTTTATTGCTGGAGCAAACAACATGAAAAAATCAATCAAGGGCCAGGAAAACCATGCCGTTTAAACCGCGACCGCCTGGGGGCGGGGGGTCGGATCCGACTTCCCCCCCCCCCTCCGTTTTTCTTGAATAACTCATGAACCGCTTACGCTATGAACTTGGCATACCCTCTCCCCCATCAATTTGACGTCTTCTGTGCAATTTTTAAGAAAAATTTTCAAAGACTTTTTGAGATATATCGATTTTAGTGATGTAACTACATGGCGTTTTCAGTCAAAAAGTGGTAAATGTTTAAAAAATCGCCAAAAATCGAGGTTTAAAGCAAATCGCAAATTAACCTTCGCCCCAGTGGGGGGGGGGCATATGTTACCACCCTATTGCGTTTTTTTCGTATAAATAAAAAACCGCGGCGCGTAACGCCGCGCCGCTTAGGGTAGATTTTGGTACATCAATTTTGGACAATGTGTGAAATTTTTGACCCCAGGTCATGTCAGGTCAGGTCACTAGGTCAAGTTAACTGACCAAGCCTAAACAAAAAGTTTGCAATCATGTCCAGCCTGCAGTGTTTGTCAGAGAGGTTTCAAACTTGATGGATTACATGATGTTATGGGTGCCTACAATTTGTATATCTCGGATTTTTTATATGCGTGACCTAAGGTCAGGTCAGTGGCGTGACCTTTCCATTATAAGTCAATGGAGAAAAACGAAAATGCCTCTAGATCCGTGTGTATGCATAGGAACAGTCCAAATATTTCAGGATAACAATGATTTGGACCACCCGTGACGACCAAGGTGTCTTTTTTTGCTGATAGCCTCTTGAAAGGTCATCCGAGGTCATTTGAGGCTACAAACAGTTTTTTTGCCAATAACTCGCGATTGGAAAGAGATAGAACGCTGGGATTGGCCTCATTGTGTTTGTCTTGCCGAGACGCATCGACTGATATGCAACATGACCTTTTCCGGTCAGGTCATGACCTTGACCTGAGGTCAAATTTTGAAGTTGACCTTTCAAGGTCAAATTATAGTTCATTCGACGCGTCTCGGCGAGAGGAACACGATTCTGGCATTAGAAATGACCTAGCTTTTTTTAGTCAAAAGTTATTGTCGAAAAACACTTTTCTTAAAAACAGCTATTTTTGGAGTTTTTGCCCTCTGGAGGCTAAACCGTTGACCTGAGGTCAATTTTGATATGAACCTTATCAAAAGAAGAGTTCAAAAGCTATCGATTGCTTTTCCTAGCGTTTTTCTATCTATCATAGTTCCTGAGATAATGGCATGTTTTCTGAAAAATATGATGACAATTCGCAAATTTTGACCTTTGATGACCTCTGGTGACCCCAATATTGCTCTAAGATGAAAAATGACTGAAATACTTTCAAACGTACGCATCAAGAGCTATCGACTGCTTTTTACCGGGTCTATCTAACCCTCTTAGTTTTTGAGTTAGAGGTGGGTGGTAACATATGCCCCCCCCCCCTAGGGCGAAGTTGGCGGAGACCGCCACTGGGGCGCGGGTTAAGGACATGAATAGACGCAACTCAACGAGTTCTTTAAAAGGGCTATCTCGGATTTTCAATAAAATGCGTTTTTCACCCCTAAAAATTCAAAAAACTATTTTTTTTTGGAAAACAGCTAATTAAATCCAAAATTTTGGGAATTTCCAAAAAACCGGAATATATGTTATAGAGCTCTATTAGAACATTAGATGTCCCAAATTTCAACTTTCTATCTTGATTTTTGACCCCCAAATTGTAAAAAATAGCTCCAACATGCATAGGGCATGGTGACGTCATTATCATTTTCGTGAATTAGAGGCACTTCTGAACATCGCATGTAAAAAGAAATGGCACCACTAGATTGCTAGGACAAAGCTCGTCCTAGCAATTTAGTGGAAAAGTGCATTTTTATGTCAAAAATAAAAAGTTGAAAAATTGACTTTTTTCTTAGCCCTCGTTTAGTTATGTATGGTATAAATAATTTTTATGCTTTCAATGCACACTTATCACCAGCACAGTGACTTGGGGTCACATATAACCATTACCATCGGATACGACGTGAAAAATAAGCCATAAAACATGTGTCGCACGCCCATGTAGCAGAAAGTGAAAACCGTGACCTTTCGTGACCTGACCTGACCTTGACCCGTACTTAGTATGACCCCTATGCGCTCATGGTACCTTCACTAGGTCTTTGAGGTCATTTTTGGTGAGTTTCGAGCAGCAGCTATCGATTCCGCTGTCGGTAAGCCTAATCATGCAAAACCCCAGAATTTGACCTTTGACCTGACCTTGACCCGAAAGTTGACCTCAATCTTAAAATCTTATGAGTGCTTTGGGAAGGTCTCGTAGAGACCTTTCGAACGCCGCCTCGCGGGGCTGGATACGAGCATTGGTTCTCGAGATAAAAGGGGGGGTCGGATCCGACCCCCCAGGCTGTCGTGGGTGCGGAAATAGCCCACGCGGTGCCGGGTTAAATATACTTGTAACCTGGTACTCTTTCCCCACTTTTGGCAGGTACTACAACACGTCGGAGCGGATGACGTCACTGTTCGTCAAGGTGACAAACCAGATGGTGAACTCCTGCAAGAGCTTCATCACTGACGACGGCACCAGCGACATCTGGGAGCAGCCGTACCGTCCGCTGGTGGAGAAGCTGCAGGTGTGCATCCACCTGTACCGAGACTACCAGGCCTTCTTCCACAAGACCAAGCGGCGCATTCAGACCACGCCCGACGAGAAGCCCTTCGAGTTCTCCGAGATGTACATCTTCGGCAAGTTCGAGGCGTTCTGCAAGCGACTGGAAAAGATCATCAACATCCTCGACACCGTTGACCACTTCTCGGTGCTCACCAGAAGCAGAATAGAGGGCATCGAGATCCATGGAAAGAAGTTCACCGACATCTTTAACACTATCAAGAAGAAGACATACGACTTCTTGGATCCTCGCAAAATGGACTTTGACCAGGATTACGAGAACTTCCAGAACCAGATCTTCCAGCTAGAAAGAGCCCTACAGGCCTTCCTGGACAAGAGCTTCACGAACATACGGACTGTGTCGGATGCGCTCAGACTGATGCATCGGTTCGAGCTGCTGAAGCTAGACTGCTTGGAGCTTAGCGACAAGTACAGCATCATCATCGAAAAATTCACGCAGGAAATAGCTACCACACGCAAGCTGTACGAGGCCTCCAAGGACGACCCGATCATCAGTCACAATATGCCACCTGTGGCGGGCAAGATCGCTTGGGCTCGAAACCTGTACCGGAGGCTACGCGAGATCATGGAGTGCCTCCGCAAGAACTACCCAGAAACGCTGCAGTGTGCAGAGGCTCGACCCATGATCCGGCAGTACAACCAGCTGTCAAAATGCCTGATCCGCTACGAGATTCTGTATCACGAAGCGTGGGCAAAGTCCGTGGACGAAGTGCGTAACGGTCTGATGGCGCCCATCCTTGTGCGCCATCCTAAGACCAAGGAGCTGATCCCCAACTATGATCCACTGATTCCGTTGACGATACGCGAAGCTGACTGCATGCGCAAGATGGGTCTCGCTATCCCGGTCACTGCAAATGTGCTCAGCTATCGCAAGGAGCGAATTTTCGACGCCCTGCAAGGTGTGCAAGGTATTCTGGAGAGGAGCCAGAAGGTGATTGGCCAGATTCCTGAGCTGTTCGCGCCCATGCTCGCGGCACTGACGCACAAGGTGGACAAAGCTCTGCAGCCGGGTCTCATCAGTCTCACGTGGACGTCACTAACGCTGCACGAGTATTACGACTCTGTCCACAAGGCTATCGACGACCTGGAGCTGATGATCAAGCGGCTGACTGACATCAAGGAGCAGCGTATCGACTCGGTGCTGGACACGATGGCCAGCACGCTGCTGGTCGAGCTTCCCGAGGAAGAGCCATACACGACCACCGAGTTCCTCAGCCGGCTGGAGAAGCACAGCGGTCGAGCCGCCATCACACTCGACTTCCTCTCGTTCAAGGTGGAGCATGCCGTGTACGAGCTGATTGATATCTTCCTGCAGAACGCCGACGTGGGTGATGCAGAGCAGCCCAACCGCAACCAATGGCAGGAGTACGTGGAGCTGGCGGCGCGGCGCGAAGCCGACAAGGAAGACCAGAAACGGAAGTCGATGGCCGGAGAGGATCATATGCCGTCTGACCTCAGCATGATGAATCTGGACACCCGCGTTGAGGCACTCTATGACACTTGTCGTGAGCTGTACCAGTTTTTCAACGCGCGCAACTCGGAGGCACTGGTGCGCGCCACCAAGTACTCTTTGGATGCCATCAAGAAGCGCGTCTTCCTGCCGACGCGCTCGATGCTGGTGGCGCGGGACGACGACGAAGCGGAGGACCTGGCGCCGACGCCGCCGTTCCTTCTCACCGACATCATGCTGGCCATTCCAAACATCGTCCTCAGCCCCAGCATCGACGACGTGCAGGGCGTCATCAACAAGGCGGCGCAGATGGTGCTGGAGGTGAACCGCGAGATAGCGCTCTGGGGCCAGGGGCGCACCTTCAGCCAGCTGAAGATCAGCACCCAAATGGATCTGGCGCCGGCCGAGGCAGAAGACGAGGCTGCCACGGACGGCGAGTCGCCCGCAGATGAGACCGCCGAGGAGAAGGAGAAGCCGACAGAGCTACCCAACAGGAGGCTGAAGACGTACTACCGCTCCGTGCGCGAGCACAAGGATACCGGCCGCATGGTGATGATGCTGCAGACGGCGCTGTCCGCCATGAAGCAAGAGATCAACAGCGTGGTGCAGCGCTACCAGGGCTACAGCTACCTCTGGGAGAAGGACCGCAACCAGGTGGTGGAAGAGTTTGTGCAGACACACCCCAGCCTGGCCATGTACCGAGCGGAGATCGCCAAATGTCGTCAGCAGCGAGACGATGTGAGTACTCACTATCCTTTCCTTGCAATTAATTGCATTGCAAAAAATATGATGTCAACTGTGCAGAATGCATGAATCAACCCTTAGTTAATTGAATGACCTTACACATTATTTTTTACCTTCTTTAGTTGTATTTTTGCTTAAATATAATTTTCGGCGAGAGGCCTCCACATCAACGCCAAAATTTACCAACAACCTACCAAAATTGGCGGCCCTTCTGGATTTGACCCTGTGGTTTATAAACATCTTTTTTAATGATGCAATGATACAGACATTGGCAGGCTCCCCTAATTACAACCATCTTATTGCAATAAAACATTCTAAGTTTTAAGAATACCGCTCTGATGGAACAGCATTTAATGGTGAGATAACGTTATTCATTTTCATCTTGAACTATTATGTTTCTCAAACCAGAAAATGTTTCCTTTTTCGCTAAGTTGCAGCAGCACCGGTCAAAAATAGCAAACTTCGGAAAGTCAGTTCCGGAATGGCAGCCGTAGTCCCCACCAAACTAGCGCTCAGGCCAAGCCAAAGCGCTAGTTGAAATAGTCTAAAGATGACATGCTACTGCGCCGTTGGATTTTTATTGCTAGTTTCCAACAATCACCTTCTTTTTTCTACAAAAGGTGAGTGGGTGCTTCAGACTACCATTTCGCCTCGTACATTACCAATCTTAGAGTCTTGCATAAAGGTCAGATAGTCTGGCATGCTCAGCTCACTGTTTTTTCAGAGCGACCAACCACACACTTCGCTATCAACACTGGCGTTGTCCAGGAATGTAAAAACACCACAAAGGGCTTCTTATATTTTGATAAAGTGGAGCTTATTGCCTTTCAACCCGGATGGTTCACAAAAACCGTATTTCTCGGCGTTTCCATTCAACATTATTTCTGACTTCCAACAATTATCAGTACCGTAATATGTGGCAGACAACAAGGAACTTAATCAGGCAGATAGCTATTAAAGTGAACTTCCTCTAACTTACTCTGCTTCTTCCATATATTCTACTCCTCTAATCCAAATACTTTTACTTACTCCATCCGTTACTTCCACACCACACGTTACGCGTTTTGATTCTTACAAAGTTAAAATCACCCGATTTCCAAATACCTAAAAGGACAAAATCAGCATGTCAGCAATCGATTGGTGTTTCACCAACCTTGGTATTTCAAAGGGACACGGCTAGTGGCTACACACTATTTTTCCGTAATGAGAAAAATCGCAGAGCGCAGCGTCGCAAAACTTTGCATAACACATCCATTTTGCATGTCACGTGAAATTCTTCACTTCAGGTAACAAAAGGTCATATCACTAGGCAAAATAAACATGTCTCTAAAACTATGAAAATGTTAATCATTCAACTTACTTCCTAAAGGTCTTAAACTTTTACTTTGCATGCAAGTACCAGTGCAACAAAATTGGTAAAATATATACATATCTAGTGAGGTTCAGCATACGTGGAATAACGCAAAGCTATGAGATGTTCACGAATTGGCGCTGTGCCGCTTTCAACTCACGAGCCCGATTATATTCACTGGCGGATCGCCTATCTGGAGTGATTATACTAAGCTGAAAAGTTCGAAACATACAGTCTACATTCACACGCATCTTTCAGAGCATTCTCAGCAACTTAACCCTGGTACTTTTAGTGAAGGGCAGGTCAAACGGACCGCCCCTCGATTTTTCACGAATAACTCGCGGAAAAAGCGGCCAATCATGACGAAACTTTCAGTACCCTCGAGTTGACCAATTTTACACCTACCCTGTAATTCACGAGTCACGACCCTAATCCAAATGACCTCCGACCTGTTTCAGTGTTTCTCGAGACCATGTTTGGCTATAATCGCGATTCGGCGTATGTCAGCTCACATTTTCCACCCGTTTAAAGTCTTTTTGTGGTTGTTAACGTTCAAACATGGGAAATGATATTGACCCCACGCATTATGGTGGGTGTCAAGGTCAAGTGGTGGTCAGGTCAAGGTCATTGAACTTTCATGACTTTGGTCACTTTTCGTGTTTTACATGCCTCTATGGTAGTTTTTGGGTCAGATTTCCAATTTATCTCTCATTTGAATATTTACAAAGAAGATTTGGTGCCTCCGTTAAACATTAAGAAGCTGTCAGTGGTGATTAACATTTGACACCTACTATGGATAGCCGGCAGGACGCTTGCTGGTCGACCTGACCTGACCTGGCCTAAAGGCATGAAGACATTATTTGTCATCAAAACTTATATGAAATTGGTGATTAGCACCCAGAAAACCCAACAACAACCTCATTTTACGAAGCTCTAGCAGGTCCCGATTTTCCCGATTTTTGGGTCATTGACCTGACCAAGGAGTTCAGTCTCAAAGGAGGACCTAGGAAATTAAAATTGGGTATCATCGGCTTCCTCTCGTCACAAGCACACGCCCGTTTTTTTTTTTTTTTTTGCGCAGCTCTAGCTCGATCAGGGGCCGAACGGCAGGGGGTCCAACAGACCCCCTTTACGTTAGGCGCTGGCAGAACACCAATACGGGCGAAGGTTAAGTCCAAATTTCAATACATTTAGACGCTCCGTTATTCCCGCATGATCAATATGTTTTCCTGTGCATTCTCCCCTCAGGTGGAGGCGATGGAGGCAGCTCACCGGGTCGGCCCGCTGCAGCTGTCCACCGAGCTGCTGAAGGTGTCGCTGACGGTGGAGATCGAGGCCTGGCTGCGCGCCTACGCCAGCCGCCTCCACCAGGAGTATAGCGTCAAGCTCGACGACGTGGCAGAGTTCTTCAAGGAAAACTCGCACCAGCTCTCCAAGCCGATCAAAGATCTGGATGACGTCCGAAACGCCATGGAATGTCTGAAGACGGTTCGCGATCGCCAAATCGAGATTGATATGCTGCTCGGCCCGGTAGAGGAGGCGTATGCGCTGTTCAACAAGTTTGAGATCCCGGTACCGAAAGAAGAGGCGGAAAAGGTCGATGGCTTACGATACGCCTTTGAGAAGCTCATCCAGCAATCAATAGCCACCCAAGACTACCTCTGTAGCGTGCAAGACACAAAACAGGACGAGCTGGTTGCCTCGATCAAACAGTTCGTCAGTGACCTATCAGAATTCGACGAGCAGTATGAAATTGCTGGACCTATGGAGGTTGGAATCCCAGCCCAAGAGGCCAGCGACCGCCTTGCTCTCTTCCAATCGCGTTTCGACGATCTCTGGCACAAATTCCAGGTGTACACAGCCGGACAAAGACTATTTGGCCTTGCTGAGAGCGACTATCCCTCCCTCCACACAACGAAAAAAGAGCTAAATCTGCTCCAGAAACTGTATGGCCTCTACAACGAAGTGATGAAGAGCGTGAATGGCTATTACGACACGGCATGGCCTGATCTGGACATTGAGCAGATCAACGCCGAGCTGATTGATTTCCAGAACCGCTGCCGCAAGATGCCAAAGGCCCTACAGACATGGCCAGCCTACACAGACCTAAAACAACGCATCGACGACTTCAACGAGACATGTCCTCTGCTCGAAATGATGGCCAACAAGTCCATGATGGAGCGCCACTGGGATCGTATCGCAACACTTACTGGCTGCACGTTCGAGCCCGAGTCTGACAGCTTCATGCTTCGAAACGTCATGGAAGCTCCACTGCTGAAGTTCAAGGAGGACATTGAAGACATCTGCATTGGAGCAACAAAAGAGAAGGACATTGAGTCGAAGCTCAAGGGCGTGATCGCTGAATGGGCTCTACATGACCTCGCATGTGCTCCATTCAAGAGCAGAGGCGAGCTCTTACTGAAGGGACAAGAGACAGCCGAGATCACAGCGCTGATGGAAGACTCCCTGATGGTTCTCGGTTCACTGCTCAGCAACCGGTACAACGCACCCTACAAGAAAACGATCCAACTCTGGGTCCAAAACTTGAGCAACACCAGCGAAATCTTGGAGAGCTGGATGACTGTGCAGAATCTGTGGGTGTATCTAGAAGCCGTATTTGTCGGAGGTGACATCGCGAAGCAGCTACCCAAGGAGGCCAAACGGTTCCAGAACATCGACAAGTCATGGGTGCGCATCATGACAAGAGCTCACGACATTCCCAACGCGGTCGAGTGCTGTGTCGGTGATGAAACGCTCGGCCAGCTGCTACCACACCTGCTTGAGCAGCTCGAAGTCTGCCAGAAGTCCCTCACCGGCTACCTGGAGGGCAAACGGCTGGTGTTCCCAAGGTTCTTCTTCATCTCTGATCCGTCTCTGCTTGAGATTCTGGGACAGGCGTCTGATCCGCATACGATCCAGGCACATCTCCTCGGAATTTTCGAAAACGTGGCCACCGTTGAGTTCCATCCCAAGGACTACGATCGCATCGTAGCCGTGCTGTCCAGGGAAAAGGAGCGCATTGAACTTGACAAGTCGGTGAAATGTGAAGGCAACGTCGAAAGCTGGCTGGGACAGCTTCTGGATGAGCAGCAGAGCTCCCTGCACAGCGTCATTCGTACCGCATATCAGAACATCATAGATCCTGACTTTGAAATCATGACGTTCTTGGACACCTTCCCAGCCCAAGTAGGCTTACTCGGACTGCAAATAGTCTGGACGAAGGACGCAGAAGTCGCGCTCAACAATGCCAAATACGATCGCGACATCATGCCAGATACCAACAAGATGTTCCTCAACATCCTGAACAGGCTCATTGACATGACAACAAAGGACCTCACAAAGTTTGAGCGGATCAAGTATGAAACGCTCATTACGATCCACGTCCACCAGCGCGATATCTTCGACGGGATCGTCAAGATGCATGTGCGGTCTGTCAATGACTTTGAGTGGGCTAAGCAGTCACGATTCTACTTCGCAGATGATGAGGACCTGTGTCTGGTTAAAATTACCGACATTGACTTCATCTATCAGAACGAGTTCCTCGGCTGCACTGACCGACTGGTGATTACGCCACTCACAGACAGGTGCTACATCACTATCGCGCAGGCGGTCGGCATGTCGATGGGTTCAGCACCTGCTGGCCCGGCAGGAACAGGCAAAACAGAGACAACAAAGGACATGGGCAAGGCCCTTGGCAAGTACGTTGTCGTCTTCAACTGCTCAGATCAGATGGATTTCCGTGGTTTGGGACGCATTTACAAAGGACTTGCGCAGTCTGGATCTTGGGGATGCTTCGACGAGTTCAACCGCATCGAACTTCCAGTGCTATCCGTCGCAGCACAACAGATCCACATCGTCTTCAACGCCCGGAAAGAAAGAAAAACGAGCTTCATCTTCAGCGACGGTGACAACGTCTCTCTGAATCCCGAATTCACCATCATCATCACCATGAACCCGGGATATGCTGGTCGCCAAGAGCTTCCTGAAAACCTGAAGATCCAGTTCCGTACAGTGGCTATGATGGTGCCAGACAGACAGATCATCATGCGAGTGAAACTGGCCTCATGCGGTTTCCGTGAGAACATCAATCTGGCGCGGAAGTTCTTCGTCCTCTACAAACTCTGTGAAGAACAGCTAAGCAAACAAGTGCACTACGATTTCGGACTGCGCAACATCCTGTCCGTCCTGCGGACCCTTGGTGCGCAAAAGCGATCACGACCCGATGAACCCGAGGAAATGGTAGTGATGCGCGTCCTTCGTGACATGAATGTCTCCAAACTAGTCGACGAGGACGAGCCACTCTTCCTTTCGCTCATCAACGATCTGTTCCCAGGACTCCAGCTCGACAAAGTGGTTCGTGCTGAGCTGATGCAAGCTATTGCCAACCAAGTGCAAATAGCCAAGCTAGTCAATCATCCTCAGTGGAACCTGAAGCTCATCCAGCTTTACGAGACATCGCTTGTGAGACACGGGCTGATGACACTGGGTCCAACTGGTGCAGGAAAAACCTCTTGCATCCATTTGCTAATGAAAGCCATGACAGAGACCGGCCGGCCACACAGGGAGATGCGCATGAACCCAAAAGCGATAACAGCGCCGCAGATGTTCGGCAGGCTGGACGTCGCCACTAACGACTGGACAGACGGCATCTTCTCCACACTCTGGCGACGCTCACACAAGGTGAAGAAGGGCGAGAACATATGGCTGGTCCTGGATGGGCCAGTGGACGCAGTTTGGATCGAAAACCTGAACTCCGTGCTGGACGACAACAAAACACTGACCCTGGCGAACGGCGATCGCATCACGATGGCACCCACCTGCAAGCTGCTCTTCGAACCAGACAACGTCGACAACGCCTCGCCAGCCACAATCTCCAGGATGGGCATGGTGTTCATGAGCGCATCAGTCCTCGGATGGAAACCAATCCTCAAAGGATGGCTGAACACGAGAACACAGGCTGAAGCTGAAATGCTCTGGGGCTTCTACGACTCCATTTTTGAAGACCTTATCAACTATGTCCGCCAAGAGCTCGTCAGCAAGATGTTCGTCCAAGAGGCGAACTACACCACACAGTCCACAGATCTGCTCACAGGCCTCATCATGGAACAGGAAGAAAAAGGCAAGTCAAGTCCACTTCCACGAGAAGAGATGCAGCGCCTGTTCCTGTTCTCAGTCATGTGGAGCTTGGGTGCGTTACTGGAGCTCGACATGCGCGCCAAAATGGAGCAGTTCGTGCGTGCACACGAGTCCAAACTCGACTGGCCCGTGTGCAATGAAGGCGAAACCATTTTCGAATTCACTGTGAATGCCAAGGGCGAGTGGGAACACTGGAGAAACTACGTGAGCGAGTACGTGTACCCGACCGACTCCGTGCCTGAGTTCTCAAGCATTCTAGTGCCAAACGTAGACAACATTCGCACAAACTTCCTCATCAATACGATCACCAAACAAAACAAGTGCGCCCTGCTGATAGGAGAGCCAGGAACGGCGAAAACTGTGATGATCAAGTCCGTGCTCAATGACCTGAATCCAGAGGAACATGTCTACAAGTGCATCAACTTCTCGTCGGCGACGTCACCTATGATGTATCAGCGAACGATCGAAAGCTATGTGGACAAACGAATGGGCACTACCTATGGTCCTCCTAACGGTCGAAAAATGACCGTCTTCATCGACGACATCAACATGCCCGACATCAACGAGTGGGGTGATCAGATTTGCAACGAGATTGTGCGACAGCTGATGGAGCAGCACGGGTTCTACTCGCTCGAGAAGCCCGGTGATTTCACGCACATCGTCGACACGCAGTTCTTGGCGGCCATGATCCACCCTGGCGGAGGCCGCAACGACATCCCACCGAGGCTGAAACGGCGGTTTTCCATCTTCAACTGTACGCTGCCTTCTGTGAACTCCATGGACCAAGTGTTCCGTGTCATCAGTTCTGGCTACTTCTGCTCATCACGATTCCCCGAGAACATCGTCGAGTTTGTGCCAACCATCGTACCGATGACACGAATCCTATGGCAGATGACAAAAGTGAAGATGCTGCCTACTCCAGCCAAGTTCCACTACGTGTTCAACCTCCGCGACCTTTCTCGGATATATGAAGGCATCCTGAAGGTCGAGGCTGAAACGATGCGACAGCCAGAAGATGTACTCATGGTGTGGAAACATGAATGTACTAGAGTGATCGCAGACAGATTTACAAGCGACGCAGACAAGGAGTGGTTCCAAGGAGCCTGCCAGACTGTGGCAAAGGACAGCCTACCCGAAGAGCTGGCGTGTGTTGTCAAGAACGATCACTACTTTGTGGACTTCCTCCGAGACGCACCGGAGCCCACTGGCGATGAGCCAGACGATTTTGAACTGGAGACACCGCATGTTTACGAGGCGATAGAAAGCTTCGACGCGCTGGAACAAAGACTTCGAATGTTCCAGGAGCAATACAACGAGGCTGTTCGCGGTGCCGGGATGGACATGGTGTTCTTCGTGGACGCCATGGTCCACTTGGTGAAGATATCTCGAGTTCTGCGGACACCTCGTGGGAACGTCTTGCTTGTCGGTGTTGGCGGAAGCGGCAAGCAGTCACTCACTCGGTTGGCATCATTCATTGCTGGATATCAAACATTCCAGATCACACTGACAAGAGCGTACAGTACCAGCAACCTGATGGACGACCTCAAGATCCTTTACCGCGTGGCTGGCAAGGATGGAAAGGGCATCACGTTCATTTTCACTGACAACGAGATCAAGGAGGAGTCATTCCTCGAGTACTTAAACAACATGATCAGCACAGGTGAGATCTCAAACCTGTTCGCACGCGATGAGATGGATGAGATCACAAACGAGTTGATCCCAGTGATGAAGAAACTCGAACCACGCACGCCACCCACACCGGATAACCTGTACACGTTCTTCATATCAAGGGCACGAAACAACATCCACGTCTGCTTGTGCTTCTCGCCGGTAGGCGAAAAATTCCGATCTCGAGCACTGAAGTTCCCTGGTCTCATTTCCGGCTGCACCATGGACTGGTTCTCACGCTGGCCACCAGATGCTCTGGTTGCTGTCTCGCACCACTTCATCTCAAACCACCCTATAGTGTGCACACCAGAGTCAAAAGAAGAGCTGATCAAGAGCATGGGTATGGTCCATGATGGAGTGGCAAAGCTGTGCGTCCAGTACTTCGAGCGATTCCGACGACAGACCCACGTCACGCCGAAATCGTACCTCTCGTTCCTCGATGGGTACAAAGCTATCTACACAAACAAACACAAAGAGATAGCAGAACTAGCTCGCAGGATGAACATGGGACTCACCAAGCTGGTAGAGGCGACCGCCAGTGTGAATGAACTAGCTATAGAGCTAGAAAAGATGACGCAAACGCTCGCCATCGCTTCAGCAGAGGCAGAAAAAGTGCTGGAGGAGGTCACGCAGTCGGCCAGTGCTGCTGAAAAAGTGAAAGCTGAAGTACAAGTAGTAAAAGATGCTGCTGAGCAGCTCGTGCAGAAAATCGCCGTCTCGAAAGGATTCGCCATGGAGAAATTGGAGGCAGCACGGCCAGCCCTCGAGGATGCGGAGCGGGCACTCGACACCATCACTGGCGGTGACATATCCACGGTGAGGAAGCTGGGAAAGCCACCGCACCTCATCATGCGTATCATGGACTGCGCCCTGCTCCTTTTCCAGAAGCATCTTGATCCTGTCACCCCTGATCCTGATCGACCCTGTCTGAAGCCGTCATGGGCCGACGCGCTAAAACTGATGTCAAACACACAGTTCCTGTTCATGCTGAAAAACTTCCCAAAAGACACAATTAACGACGAAGTGGTGGAACTGATGGAGCCGTACTTTGCCATGGAGGATTACACACTTGAGAGCGCAAAGAAGGTCTGCGGAAACGTGGCAGGCCTTTTGTCCTGGACTTTGGCCATGGCCGTGTTCTTCGGCATAAACAAAGAAGTGCTACCGCTCAAAGCAATGCTTGCTGTCGAAGAAGCAAAACTTGATGCCGCCAACAAACAGCTCGCCGAGGCACAGGCGCAACTGGACGAGAAACAGAGGGAGCTGGATGAGGTGCAGGCCAAATTCGACGCAGCAATGGCCTCGAAACAAAAACTCGTGGACGACGCAAACAGGTGTCAGCAAAAGATGGACAACGCGTCCACCCTGATCAACGGCCTCTCCGGTGAAAGGGTACGATGGACAGCGCAGTCCGAACTGTTCAAACAGCAGACTGAATGGCTAGTCGGCGACGTGCTACTCCTGACAGGCTTCCTGAGCTACGCCGGCCCATTTAACCAGGAGTTCAGGACATTGCTCATCAAACAGTGGGAGAAGGAACTCAAAACGAGACACATTCCATGCTCTGAGGACCTAAGCATTATCGGACAATTGACAGACGCGCCTACAGTGGCTGAGTGGAATCTGCAAGGTCTCCCAAACGACGACCTGTCGACACAGAACGGCATAATCGTCACTCAAGCGTCACGCTATCCACTGCTCATTGACCCACAGAGTCAAGGCAAAACCTGGGTGAAATGCAAGGAGAAAGACAATGACTTGATCGTATCCTCCCTGGACCACAAGTACTTCAGAAACCATTTGGAAGACGCACTTTCTCTTGGAAGACCAATGCTCATTGAAGACGTGGGCGAAGAACTGGACCCAGCCCTGGACAACGTGCTGGAAAAGAACTTCATCAAGTCCGGTAAAACACTGAAAGTAAAGCTCGGCGACAAAGAGGTAGACGTCATGGATGGCTTCACACTGTACATAACCACAAAGCTGGGTAATCCCACATATTCGCCCGAGGTGTCCGCCAGGGCCTCGATCATCGATTTCACTGTCACCATGAAAGGGTTGGAAGACCAGCTTCTAGGACGTGTCATCGGCACCGAAAAGCAAGAACTGGAGCACGAAAGAACAAAACTGGTGGAAGACGTCACTGACAACAAGCGCAAGATCAAAGAACTGGAGGACAATCTCCTTTTCAAGTTGACCAGTACGCAAGGCTCGCTTGTAGAAGACGAGTCTCTGATCGCTGTGCTAGCCAACACGAAAGAAACGGCAGCCGATGTGCATGAAAAGCTCAAGGTAGCGGCAGAAACCGAGCTGAAGATCAACGAGGCACGCGAAGAGTTCAGGCCGGTGGCGACGCGTGGAAGTATCCTCTATTTTCACATATGCGAGATGTCCATGGTAAACAGCATGTACCAAACGTCGCTGACCCAGTTCCTCGGCATTTTTGACAGATCTATGTCAGAGTCAGATAAGTCTCCGATCCCGCAGAGACGTATTGGAAACATCATAGAGTACCTGAACTACGCCTCCTTCCAATATACGTGTCGGGGTCTCTATGAAGTGGATAAGTTCCTCTTCACTCTCCTCATGGCGCTCAAAATTGATCTCAACAAGCGCATCGTCAAGTACGAGGAGTTCCAAGTGCTCATCAAGGGCGGAGCAGCACTGGATCTCAACAACGTCACACCCAAACCGTGTCGCTGGATCAGTGATCTGACCTGGCTGAACCTGGTTGAGCTCTCAAAGCTGCCGTACTTCCACGAGATCTTGACGCAGGTGCCACACGCTGAGAAAACGTGGCGCGCATGGTTCGAGAAGGAAGCACCGGAGGAGGAAGTCATTCCAGATGGCTACCACACGTCACTCGATACATTCCGACGGCTGCTGCTGATCCGATCCTGGTGCCCGGACCGCACAATCGCTCAAGCGCGGAAGTATGTCGGCGAGTCGCTTGGCATGCGCTTCACGGAGCCTATCCTTCTCGACTTGTTCCAGACATGGAAAGAGTCGTCGCCACGCATCCCTCTGGTGAACCTGCTCAGCACCGGATCCGACCCAACGCCAATGATAGAGGCGTTGGCAAAGAAGCAGAATGTTCCATGCTCAGCCGTGTCCATGGGACAAGGACAGGAGATCCACGCACGCCGCATCATGACTGAGTACATCGCTGGGGGCGGCTGGGTGCTGCTGCAGAACTGCCATCTGTGCCTCGACTACCTGGCAGAAGTGGTCAACACCATAATCGAGACCGAGCAGATCGACGAGCGCTTCCGCATCTGGATCACCACTGAGCCACATCCAAAGTTTCCCATATCACTCCTACAGATGGCCATCAAGTTCACCAACGAGCCGCCGCAAGGCATCAAGGCCGGTCTCAGGCGCACTTACCACGGCATATCACAGGAGCTGTTGGACTACACCAACTACCCTCAGTGGCGGCCACTGCTATACGGGGTGTCGTTCCTTCACACCATCGTGCAAGAGCGCCGCAAGTTCGGTCCGCTCGGCTGGAACATCCCGTACGAGTTCAACCAAGCCGACTGGTCAGCGTCAGTGCAGTTTGTACAAAACCACCTAGACGACATCGACCCAAAAAAGGGAGTCAGCTGGGTCACGGTGCGCTACATGCTCGGCGAGGTCCAGTACGGTGGCCGCGTCACCGACGACTTCGACAAGCGTCTTCTAGTGACGTTCGCGAAGGTCTGGTTCAGCGACGCCATGTTCAACGAGCAGTACTGCTTCTACCAGGGCTACGGCATCCCGCGCTCCACGAAACATCCCGAGGTCATGGCGTTCATCGACGAGCTACCTGCGGTGGACGCCCCACAGGCGTATGGGCTCAACACAAACGCCGACATCACGTATCAGACGAACACCACCAAAGCGCTCCTGGACACAATCCTTGCCATCCAGCCAAAGGAATCCAGCGGTGGTGGTGGCGAGACTCGCGAGTCGGTTGTTTACCGACAGGCTGATGACATGCTGAGCAAGATGCCCGATGACTACGTGCCGCACGAAGTGAAGGCGAGACTCCAGTCGATGGGTGCGCTCAGCCCGATGAACATTTTCCTACGACAGGAAGTAGACCGCATGCAGAAGGTGATTTCGGCTGTGCGCCAAACTCTCTCCGACCTAAAGCTAGCCATAGACGGAACCATCATCATGAACGAGAATCTGCGTGACGCTCTCGACAACATATTCGACGCAAAAGTGCCGGCACTTTGGAAGCGTATCAGCTGGCAGTCGACCACCATCGGCTTCTGGTTCACTGAGCTGCTGGAGCGCAACGCTCAGTTCCACGCGTGGGTATTCCAAGGCCGGCCGTCCGTGTTCTGGATGACTGGCTTTTTCAATCCGCAGGGCTTCCTGACGGCAATGAGACAAGAGGTGACGCGCGCACACAAGGGCTGGTCCCTGGACAGCGTTGTCCTCGCCAACGAAGTGCTCAAGGTATACAAGGAGGACGTGGACACAGTGCCTCCGGAGGGCGTGCTCGTGCACGGCCTCTTCCTCGACGGAGCCGGCTGGGACAAGAAGAACTGCAAGCTGCAGGAGTCGCTGCCCAAGGTGCTGTTCATCAAGCTGCCGGTCGTCCACATCTTCGCGGTCAACAACCCGTCCGGCAAGGACGCTCGATCCTACAAGTGCCCGGTGTACAAGAAGCCGAACCGGACCGACCTGAACTACATCACCACGCTGTCTCTGCGCACTGTGCAGAGTCCCGACCATTGGATCCTCCGCGGTGTGGCCCTGCTCTGCGACATCAAGTAGGCGTAGCTGACGACATGCAGCCAACAAAAGGCAGCACCAAGCACGCATATGATTCGTTCTGTGATCGAGTCACTTAAAATCGACTGCTCTTTTCACGAGCAAAGTTGTTACAAAGTGTAGTGTCCGCTTGTAATGAGTTTATCTGTCTGAATGTTTAGATCGGGCAATGACAAACTTTTGTCTTTCAATAGAAAAGAGAAGTGTAGTAAGGGCTAGCTACGCTTCCATCAAATATATCGGAATTAGGTCATTCATTGAATTTTGGGCGTCTGGACTTCCTAGCCATTAAGATTTCCTTTTTACTTGACAATGCAACGTCGTGATGTGGAGTCAAAACCACATATCTGAGACCTTACCACCCTACAAAGAGAAGAGGCAGAGGCAGTACCCAGGCTGTGACGTCAAAGATGTGTGTGTTAGAGCCTAGAGGGGATGGGGAGCTTTAAATTACCTCCACGGCATCTAGTGGGTTAAGCCTTCTCTATAGCTTATCTCAGATCTTTTACTCACGATAATCACTTGTTGCTGCAGCAAACGAGAAACTATCGTGGACTATAATCTGCTCCAGCCGCTGGAAAACCCAGTCCATGCGGAGCGGGGTGGGGGGTGTTTCAAGAAACTACGGATATCCAGTTGTAGATGGTAACCCGGAATATAACGCAGCAAACACGATTCGCTGGTCTGATTAGGTCGGACCTTTGAACTGCTAAAGCGTTTACGCGGTAGTCGGAAAATGTAAACAGATGAGGATTAAGTGAGTAAGCGGACTAGGTAGCATGCAGCTGGCTGGCTGCGTAACACCATGCGCATTATGCACAATGGCAGACAGGCTTGCATAACAAGATGTTATACAACAGTTTGTCAGCGTGAAATGTGGTTTCTTGAAGATCGTAGCAGCTGCGAAAACCTGACAGCTACCGAACAAAATATGAGGTCAATGCTCATCAGAGCAAGCAAGAGAATATATCAATAGAAAAATGAAAATATGAAACTAGAGATAAAACATAAATACACATGACATTGAGTAGATTTGCCAGTTCAACCGTGTCGGACGAAAATCCTGCCATCTGATTTAATCACCGTATGCTTCGATAGTGACACCGGCACAGTCGACAGAGTGACGTCTTTCATGTCTCTTTGACATGTTAGCATCCATTTTTTCTATGTAAATGACTCCACAAGACCACAATCCAGACATAACTGGGGGAAAAGCACATAGCTGAGGTTAACAGATGACTAACATTACGTGTGACGCACGTATGTACGTACACAGCACCTCAGCCGCGTTCAAATATCCAGGCGACGATCACAGGCTTAATTAGAGGAATTAAACAAATGAATTCAAAAGCGGTCTGACGCTTCGCCCTTCACCGGCACTCGCCCTTTGAATCATCAAAGACTAATGCAATGACGCACATAGAAGTGCTGCAAAACTTTATTACACAAATATTAGAAAACACTCACAAACCAGCAAGACCATCATATTATTTAGCTTGCAGCTGTAATGCTTCTTGCATCAGAAGATGTCAATAACGCATTAAATGGCGAACAGCAACGGACCTGTCTAGATCCAAAGTAATGGGACTTACCTGCGCAAATTTCCCATTGGTTATGTATGAAACCAAGCACATACACCAAGCACCGCATGATTCTCACCTGTGAGAACGCCTGCTGGTCCATATGTTCCGTGATACGACAGGTAGAGTGGCGGGGCCGCGCCGGTAGCACGTACTCCTCCCGTTTGGATACCACTCTCTCCAGCTCTTCGTCCAGCTTCCTGTCAAAAACGAGAGCCATCGTCAACAGCGGAGACTAGCACTTAAGCGCAGGTGAAACGTCTAGCGCATCCGTCCACGTGGCCAACGGATTCCCCTTACGGCAGAGTCAGTGAAGACGATGCTTTTGAATGCGTAATGATTGGGGACATCACTGATGGCAAGACACAATGCGGTATCAACAGAGCATATGATGACAAATAATGACGTTGGTGGATAATTGAGACATTAGTAATTGGCGTGTGCCAACGTCCAGCATATAACAGTGTATGTGATAATAACGGGACAGTATCGACGTCAGGTGGCAGTGAAAATTGCCAGTCCAAGTGACACTGTCTTATGGTCATACCAGTATTTATCGTAGTGTCAGCCAAGACTGCCCTGTGACAACGTCAGTGTCATGTGACAATGACCTGGACCTGTCAATCTCATCTCATCCTGTGAGAGTGGCATGATAGTGTCAGTCTCACGTGACAAAGTTAGCATCATGTGACAGTGTCAGTGCCAGTGTTGACGTCTCGTGATCAACTTTCGTCACATCGCAAGTCGGCGGGACGAGTCGCTATTGATGCAGCAAAGATTACATCATTCCCGCTGCAAGAGTCGCCCGGCCTGGCAACACAGACGTTGCCCGGTTCCAGTGAGCTATTTTCACCATCCCGTGCGGCTAACTGTAGCCAGCCACCTCCCATTCATCCGAGCCGAGATGAGATTGGCATCCGAAATAACACCGACGATTTAATATGGTATGCATGACGAGCAGATGAACCATCTCCTTTGGCTGGTAACCAAAGCTAACGCAGCGCCGCCGCTATGCAGAAACGATGAGATGTTAATCATGCATAAGACGGGAGCGAGCATAAAAATTGATAGCTCGTCCATAGCTTCTAAATCCAGATAACTGCAGTCAAACTACATAGATAGCTTCTAAAATAACCAACCAAAGATTGACCACACTACCAACCTCGTCCATATCTGACACATTGCGGCGAAGTTCCACGCACGCCATTCGTTACCTCCACGCCCCGTTCATTCACGCCCCCGTACGACCTTCGGATAGGTCATGAGAAGGCGACACGGGTGGATAACGGATGGCTCGCGGTCGTGGACAGCCAAGGTGCCCGGCCAAATGTCAGCTGCGGGTCGCCCTGGCCACCGCTCACTCTGTGCGCAAAACGGCACGGCGAGCGGGAGAGGCCAGTCGCCGGGCCCGCTGTGGAGATCGACCCTTCAGAGTCTGAGCCTCGTCAGCGCTGGCGGTTGGCACGGCGAGAAAATGGTAACAAATTGTGACAATTTGCGCTGTGACCGTGTCTTCACTTATCAGGGAAAGAGCAGCATACACATTATGGATTACATCCATATTATGGATTCTATCCATATTATGAATTCCATGGCCAAGGCGGCTTTAATAAATGGCAAGTAACGAATGTCATGTATCGGTTTTATATACCTTGCAAATCAGATAAATTTTGTAAATAAACAATAACAGCCAGCCATTTCCATTAGTGAATCACACTTTGAAAGGTCGTGTCGCAGAGGCCACATGAAAGGCTAACAAATAGCAAACATACTTCCTGATCGTTCCAAAAACCACTTGCTGACGTATATCACCAAGGTAATGTATTTCCTTGGAAAGCTCCATCTACAATAAATTGACGGAAACATCATGCAACTGTTGCATGTTTTTAAGTATCATCTTAAGAAACCTCCCTTTGAAGTAGTCTTGCCGGATGTCGGTAGAATAAGATAAGGACGTCTTAGATCAGCTTGAGGATTAAGTATTAAGAGATTATGATCTCCATAAATTGCTTCAGATTTCCTACAAAATCCGACTCATTCAACTTAATGTGATCTACAGCGCTTAGGCTCATAGCAGATGAAAGCGCATCTTATTCTGGTATTGTAAACAAATGACGAGAAAGGGATTAAACCAATTTGACAGTCATGTGCAAAAAAGTTTTGTTGAAAATGAACCAGAAGTACATAAAAAGCCATAGGAGCACCACCCCAATTAGGTACGTCAATGGCTAGTATATAAAGCTGTTAATCACAGGTGGAACTTAGTGCCGAGCTGAGGGCGCCCATGCGCAGCAAATCCGCCTCCGCCCTAGCGGTGACCTTGACCTCAACCGTCTGCTGCGGCTCCAAAGCCAAGCCGGCGTGGAATTGGGAGAGCTCGGGGACCCCCAACTCGGCACAAAGTTCCACCTATGCTGTTAACCTTTTCATCAGTGATTATAGTGTCGTCATAGTACGACATTTGGACTTAACGCCATTACGAAGGTAATAGAACAGCACTTCAACCCTCCCACAATCTCCACTCATTGCATACACCTCCAAGGCACATTAGTCTGCACGCACCTGGCTCCTGCGACAAACTCGTCGTTACACTCGAGGCAGACGACGGGCAGGCGGCTGCCGTAGGCCAGGTAGCGCGACAGGTGGCCGCGGCCGGAGCCGAGGTCGACCACGAGTCGCGGCTCCGTCAGCTCCACGAGCCGCGCCAGTCGCCGCAGCTCGTGCTGCTTCTTGGGCTTCACGTGGCGGCGAAACACGTGCTGCAGCTGCTTCAGCTGGCCGCCGCCAGGTGTCAGCTCCGCCGCCGCGTCCTGTGGCCACTGTTCGGCGGCTGGGGGCTCGGCGGGACTGTCGGCCGGTGCGCAGCGCTCAAGGAACTTGGCCACGGGCGCGGGCGAGGCGACTGGCCGGCGGGGTAACGACAGCGCCCGGCACGAGGCGCGGAACGCCAGCAGGGAGAGCGGCGGCGGCTCCCCCGGCGGCCAGCACCTGCAGACATGGGCACCGCTGTCAGCCGGCCACATCGTCAGTTAGATTCGTAACTAAGAACGCAGCCATCATAAATGTAGCGAAGGAGCAAAATGCAGCATAAAAAGATATGCACCTGATGTGCTTGGATCGACTGAAGTTAGGAAACGATCCAAAACCAAAACTGAAAAAGGAATCCATGCGTAGCGTCTACCTATCCCATGACTCACACCCTTTTCGCGGCATACATTATGGAAATATGAGTATCCCGACATGATCGTTTTTTGCTCGCGCACGACATTACCTCGTATGTCTTACTCGTGGATGTGCAATGTTTTCCATGGAAACTAAGTTTGCTGGCAGAATATTGAAGTAAAGCCCTTGGAACCTTCATAAGCAATTCCCATCGCGGTAACATGCTTGAGGTGGGGTGTTCGCCTTAATCGGTTCAATCTGTTGTAACAGCCAGGCTGTAGATCCGCGTATGTAGATCTGCCCTTTAAGATGTTCCGAGTCATGATACGGTGTACAACTGGCTTTAAGGACGTTCGTAAAAGAGCAAGGCTCAAGCATTTGTGCTGAGACTGCGCAACACAGCCTTAACCCGCGCACCGACGGGGGTCTGCGCCAACTTCGCACCGACGGGGGGGGGGCGGATGACCGCCCCCCCCCCCTGAGATCTCGAGAACGAAGCAAGATAGCGACAAGCGGTAAACGGCATCGGATACGCACGGCCAAGATCTACAATTTTTACTATGGTCATTTTCAGGTCAGGTCAAAGATGACGTCACAGGGGTCGAAAAAGTCAAAATGGCGGCACTAGATATGGAGAGAATTTTTCTCGAATAACTTTCGAATTAGTCAAGATAGGAACAAACTAAGGGTATCATCGTGATCCTCTCGTCAATCCACATCGAATGATATATATGTTGACCTCGAAAGGTCAAGGTCAAAGGTTGACCTCAGGTCACGTGACCTCGAGGTCATCATGTATATCATTCGATGCGTCTTGACGAGCTGAACACAATGAGACCATCCACGCGTCTGTATCTTGTTCCTGTACGGAGTTATTGGCAAAAAACCTTTGGTGACCTTTGATGACGTCACATGACCTCACAGCTGCCCAACAGCAAAACAGACCTCAAGGTAGTGAAGGTTGATCGTATATGAAGTCATGTAAAGTATATGGGGCCATTCCGACCCGTTTTAGTGGTAAAAACAGGGAGTTGATTTTTCCCCCATTGACTTATAATGGGGAGGTCGCGAAATTGACCTGACCTTAGGTCACCGATATCAAAATTCCGAGATATACAAATTGTAGCTACTGATGACCTAATAATATCCTGCGACTTTCAAAGGCCTCCGACATCTACTGTAGCTGTGGCACGGTGACAAAGTTGCAAAAAAGTGACTTGAGGTTGGGTCATTCAAAGTGACCTGGTGACCTGACCTTAAAAGGTAGGAAGTTCAAACTTGCACACCATGTGTAAAATTGATGAGGTTATAGTCATACTGAATTTCGCGGCGCTACGTGCCGCGGTTTTCCCGCTATTCGCGAAAAACCTCAGGGGGGGGGGGCGGATATCCGCCCCTCCCCCGTCGGTGCGCGGGTTAAGCCGTGAAAGTTGCTGACAAAACCGTGATATTATGAGTCAGCTTCGGGTATAGGGAAGTAGTGGTTTGCTTGCTTCTCGGATTGCGCATACAGTCATCTTGTGAGTACGAAGACATGGGAGACAAGCGTACAACGAAATCCAGGATATCATAGGACAGGTTGACAACCAACTCACGCTCCTGGTAAAGGGAAGTCCAACAAAAGCAAATAACTACAACATAACTACTATGTCGTTTACAAGTGTTGTGTCATATTCTGATGTGAAAATACAAGAATCCTACGTTACAAAAATGCGTTTCAGTCAGCACTTCTTGCTTGTCGGGCAGAAGGAAATAAACTTTTAACCGACGAAGACTATAAATAGACGATGAATGAAACATGTACATATATCGGAAAAAAACATGTGCCGCTCGCACGTCCCGCCGCGACACTAGCATTCTGATTCCTTAATGCATGTGCTTAACTTCCGATTGCCTGCTCTATTCTCGCTAACTTTACCTTGTACACCAGCCCCGCACTTCAGCATCTCTTCAACGTCAATTTCAGAAGTACGAATCACCGATGGGTCGGATCTGAGGCCTTCAGCGGCCGGTCACAAATCCAGCTCAATTTGTAACTTCTGCGCTACACTGAAATAGTCCAGGATAGTGCGATATATGGAAACCGGATGGCCTCACCAAGGACCCGGTCGATTGACGTCGCTGTTCACCCACAGAAGTAAACGATTAGTCGGCTATTTTCGTCTGTGCATGGACGATTTTTAACTACGCATATACATTGTGCTTATGTTCCTAACCAAACTTTTCGTGTCAGACCATCACTAAATTACTGCCTGTCACGTTTAGGGTTCTAATGAATTTAGAATAACTCCAATCGAAAGCAAACTTTGGCTGTAAATTATACCCGCCAATTGCGAAAAATTCATCTTCTGCGTGTTTAGTCCAATTCATATTTGGCCACAGGTTGAGTGCTCCTAGCAACAAGTGTTCTGAATACTTTGTCATTCCACACCTGCAAGTCGCTAGTGAATACTTATCTTTAATTTGGGCGGCGATTTTGAGGACCGCTCGCGAGTTTGTTTGTTGGGTGAGGCCACGAAATCTGCACAACGCCGACCCTGCCACGGAAAGCACAGTCCGCGACCGATTTAAAGCGCACATCCCCGCCATCTAAATCTGAGCGCGGCTCACACAAGCTAGCCGTGCCAGATGTACCAAAGGACCAGCGTCGCCGTTACAAAGGGCGGCACAAGGCGCCGCCCACCGCGAGCAAGGATTACACGAGTGTTGCATGATACAGCTCTGATACATCAGTGTGAGCAGACACGATGTCTGTGACTATTTTTTAGGCCAGCGCACCTGGGAAAGAGGCCAGAATGACTCACAGGGTAAGAACAAACGACAGTCGCCGACCTGGTTCATCGGGGGACGATACGTCAACAGCTTGTTGACTAGAGGTTAAACAGATATAGGAAACAGAAAAACAAGGTACAATGTCAACGCAAAGTGACAGTTATGGTGGATGTCATTATGTAAGTCTCTGCAAGCAATGCTGAAGCCAGAGCTAAACAAAGACCCACAAATGCCTTCGTCTAGACATCGATAGATAAGTGAACCAAATAAAGGCCAACATGTATTGATAGCACTTTGTTGCATTGATGAAAACTGTTCGGCAGCACAACCCAACTGGCTACTAGCGCCTGATTTGTCTGAATAGCGCAGTTTCTTTTTTAATTCCTGTAACTGGATGACATCGTGCCGAGAAATGATGCTTTCTGGACGGACTGTTACCTCTTGTTATTTCAAAAAGTTGGCGTAGTTACCTATTGACATCACATCCGGGCTGGTCCAAGGTGATGAAAAATGACAGTGTCTCGGCCGACCACGAGTCCAGAATTGGCCGCCACTGCTCCGGAAGGCTGTTCCACAGATCTTCCACGAAAAAGTCCTGGCGGAAAGTAAACAAAGCATACGATATCACCGAGCAACGAAAGGACACTACAATACAACGCATCAATAAGCAATAAGCATCACCATTGCACTCCACTCCTAAATAAAAAACGACAGATTCTATCTGGATTGATGTGCTGACTGCTGAGAACATGTAGACAATTGATACAGTGAAGGCGCCAGGTTTAGTGTTGCCAGGCCATTCGCTTATGAGAGATAGGTAAACAAGAGAGCGTTTCGACATCTGCATAACCTTATCTAGCATGAGCTTACACAGGCTTTAATGACTCTTCAACGAAGTAGGTGCCCCGTAACCACTGTTACGTTTCCCTGAAGCCTGGGTGCCGCCCACCGCGCAATAAAGCCGGCGACGGTACATGCGTCAACACATCTCAAAGTGCCCGTGTGCTGAGGTGGGTGTAAGGGTGACCTATACGGCGCCGCTCATTACAGCCCTGCGGGCACCCCGCCCACCGCTCGGACGAGGTGATCACATCCTCAGTGTGGCCCGCAGACAGCCCCAGTCTTTCAGGGAGATTGTAACATCACTATCAAGTGACCCACGACCGGCTACGAACCGAAATACCGCTCTGTGGTATACCGCGTCGGTTAACCCCTTTATCTAATAAGCGTTTGAGAGTTAAAGAAAAACATGTCATTTAATTCGCATCTATAGTAAAGAGAACCCAGCAATGCCGTGGTTCATAGTGTTCTCCAAGTTGCTTCTGTCATGCAATTTAGCATTTGGGTTCGTCGCTTATTCTTATTTATTTATTAGGCGATTTAAGGAGAGCAAAAAAGTCTTTATGAGCAAGTAACAACTTATTCGGTGCGTTCATACGCATCCAGCACAAAGAAACAAGCGCGGGAGCTTACCAGAATAAACGCGTCGGTCAGGTGGGCGTACATCTGGAGGAAGCGGACCGCATCGTCTAGGAAACGCCGCCAGGCATCGGCGTCCGATCCGCTCTCCAGGCAGACAGCCGCCATCACCGGGCCTGCAATGGTTTTTGGCGATTGAACAGCGGAGCGCAGATGAAGGGTCAGACAAATTCAGTTCAGACATTTATCTGCTCTTAGGAGACAATAAAAAGTTTTTGCACATCAAACATGCTGTAGTTTCATTGACCTTGGGTTCTTCGAGTTGGGTCCTAAGTAAGATAGCTAGATCGAGGCACTACATCAGCTAGATCATTGCGGAAAAAGCAAGCCTGGTGCCAGCCGAGAACAATAATGGCATGCGATTTACTACCCCTTGTTAATCCGTGACCTCAAAGGTCGGGTTAATGACCTCAAATTCCACGTTTTCCACAAATACCTTCTGAAGAAATAGTCGCAGAGCCATAGTATGGTACTAAAATATTTGCCTGATCAGACATCGAATATCCTGTTTGTTTGTTTTGTTGTTTTTCGCATGTCTTCTAGTCTTTTTAATACGTTATAGACAGAAGTTTAATGAGAGTTGACACAATAAACAAGATGTGGCTGGTGATAACATCAGAACTGTCTGCCTGTTTTCTGTGGCAGCCGAGGGAACAGAGCAGGTGCCGTCGGGAACTAGGACACTAGGTTCGTTCTCATTGTAATCCATGTCGGCTTTCATGGCAGTCAAGGAAACACGAAGTAAATGTCTGAAATGTCAGCCCTAGACAGTAAAGAAAACACAAGGACGTTTAGTCCAGATTTGCAGATCACCATCAACATGCAGTGGTCTGGACTCTTGGAGGGCGTTCCTCTCGAATGTCCTATGCTCTGTCCGCTGGCTTCCTCATCTCGAACACGACATATTCGGCGATGACGTCTTTCTTCTGCGGTCGATGTGCCCGGCAAGTCATCTAGCATCCTATCATCCAAGTCATCGTCATCAAACTCATCAAGGAAAACTGCACTATCAGAAAGTCGGCGTTCTCTATGGTGAGCCCATGGAGCTCTGTAAGTCGACCTGTGGTCAGGAGACCCGGTCACCCGAGCGTCCAAAGAAGCCACCGGCGCTGTCGCCGCGTTCGCCGTTCAGGGGTTCGCGTCACCCGCCCGCCCGATGTATTTCGGACCGACCTGGTCAGTCCAGTCAATATTTGCACAGCGGACAATGATCGGTTCGACCGGGGGCGTAACGGCATTCAGAATACATCCGGCAGGCGGCACAGTTCCATCCTGGTCGTCAGGTCGGCCAGTGGCAGGACCCTGCAGCTCGTTACATGGACGTTTTGTGACCCGCGGTGGATTTCGAAATACGATGTAGGTGAATCTGCAGTGTTAGCACACAGTTCACACTGAATAAGGAGAGTTAAGCGTCGTGAGGAATATCATCATGATGATTATGAGCATATTTGATTGACCGAATCCTCAATATAATCTGAATAAAAATGACAAATTAGCAAAATTCGGATATATTCGATCACAGATCTTTGTCAACCCTTTTTGAATAATGAGAGATGAATAAGGAGATCTTTTGAATAAGGAGAGATGAATATTGAATAACAATAAATTGACATGGCAAATGACAACCAAAAAATAATTTGCAAGTGCCTGGGTTCTGATCCAGCGATCAATGTACCTGGCTTTCTTCTTCTCGAAGTTCGCTCTCTCGCTTCACATACGAGTCGTTCTATCTTTTGCCAGGCGCAGACCAAAGAAAGAATACACTACCATTTTGAATCAAGTTCTGGTTTCATATTTTCTTACATATCTGTATTTATTTGGATGATAATTGTGACAACGGTGATGCTACAAACTCTTATTTGAATTTATTCGAGAAAATGCGCTATGTTCGCATTTTGCATTTCAATATAATCCATGTCGTAGAGACTACACCATACGCGCTGGCATATTTGACAAGAATCAGACCGGGTAGGTATATTTGATAAGAATCAGATCGGCCTCTTCAGGCCCATTCGTGCCAACCACAAATCGTGTGGGTGGTGCTGCAACCACCGGCAAAGTTTGGTCAAACATAAACCCTCCGGAAATGACGTAAATAGTATTCATGATCCTTCCAATACCTACTGTTACGTAAAAAACGAATCCTGGAAATTAAACAAAACATTTTCCTCAAAGCCGTTCTTTATTTAATGTTTCCCATAGAAAGTAAATGTATTAGATCGCGTGCCATTCGAAAGCACACAAGCCGTGGGCCTAGAAATGGAACTGGTGAACCCCAGTATGTGCGGTAACTCTGAGTGAAGGGGTATTTAACCGCACCATGTGCGCGATGATCGCCCTAAACCGAGCTAATACCAGCGGTCATCCACAAGGGTGCCGGCAAAACTCGGTTCGTAACAGGATTCCCGAGAAAGTACCCAGCATATCGCAGCCAACTCGGCAAACCATTATTCGGAGTAGCGGCGGGCCGGCGCGGCGGTCAGTAGCGGCGGCCCGTCACCGCAGCGTACCGCGAAATGGGAAGCGTTAGGGCGGGTGTCGTCGTGTCAGGGCCGTGTCAGGGCCGTGTCAGGGCCAGTAGCGACGGCGAGTGCTGGCTGACACGAGGTGACACGCTGACCGCAGGCATATCTCTGAGCGTCGTTGCCCGAAGGAATATGCGGGACTGAGATCGGTGATCCTGTTCGGTATGGATGCAGAGCTGGGTCTGCCGAGCAATGAGGCATTGAAGAGTGGTCCTGTATGGCGTCTGTGAGGACCTGCTGTTAACCCAAATGAACAGCGCCGCCAGCATGATTCACTATATTTACGTCTCAGTTGATTATGAAACGACGCTGAAAATAGTAAAAAAAAAAGCAATGCAGCAAAGCTTACCTAGAACGAGCAGATTTCTTTTTTTTTTAATAAGCTGTTCGCATCTTTTGCAGACGTCAAAACCCAGCATATTTTGCGGACGTCAAAAGCCTATGAATATCTCGAGATATGATAAAGAAAGAGATCCGACTATGCGGTAAGACCGGACATTCGCCTCAAAATGAATGTAAAACCAAACTTTTCAGTGTAAGCACAATGTTCAACGCGACCATCGCCAAAGCAGGCTACAGGTTCTGGCCAAGATAGCTCACCTTTACCTCTATATGCAGACAGAAAGACGCCATTCCAACGGCCCTTCCTAGAATTCCGACAGCCTTGTAAAAGGACATGACATCTTGATTGCCACAAGCTCAAATATGAGCATGTTATACATGCATCATCCTAAGAAGGCTGCAATGATTAGGAAACTTTTTAGACGAAGCATAAAGCGGTACTGCCAAGTAAAAATTAGTCAAACAGGATGTCTCACAGAAATGAGCAATTACCAAAAAAAAAGCAAGAAACTTTCGATTTGAACTTCAAAAAGTCAGGAATCTCAGAATACCTCCAAATACCTCCACGGATAAAAGGCGGCGTTGAGCTTCATTATCTCGCCGACAGGTCAGAGAAACCATTGCTTTTTGCGCAATTTAGCACAAAATTAGTTTGTGGGCGTCACCACCAAGCGGGTTTCTATTCCGGTTGCTAGTTAACGAAATCAGCATTTCTATGTTTTCAACGTTTATTTTGTGAAGGGGACAATTGAAGAAAAAAAATGGGGAGAATTGAGACAGCGTGTCCTAGTCGTGGACAAGATCTCCCTCCGGCAAACACGTTCCCAAACCTTCAGCGATATCGAGTCGAGTGTAAAAACGATAATCGAAGTGATTTTCTTTTGTCAGTTCTAAAATCGCTTTTACTTCAAATTGCGCCATTGCATCTCAGCTTGAACAAATTTATAACGTTTCTTTTACAGTACCAGTTCTCCTCTACATTTTCCCCACTTGACAGGTCCTGGACTCCTGGACGTGACCTAGTTGATAGTTCACCCTGTCAGCTTTTCTAAAAATATAAATTAGATAAATGATTCTGCCAAATAATTGAGAAGAAATAAAACCTTTATTAGAAAATGCAGATCTGCACGAGCCTAGATTTCACTATTTTACCGATCCAGTACAAAGACGACGAGCGTTTCGTGTCAGGCACAAATGAAAATTATGATGTATCATTTAACACTGACCAGTGAATAGCACAGAACCTTTCTAGACAAAAAGAAATACTCAGGCTTGCAACCGCAACTTTGCAAACGGGTAAATAGACCGTGCTTGGTCGATGGGTGGCTATAAGCAGTAAGCACACAAAGTTCGTTTTTATCAATTGAAACATTGAAGTTTTCCTTGAAAAAAAGTTATTTCACACGCCTAAAAAAAATGGAACAGCAAACAGCGCCAATCGTGAAAAGAAGTAAAACCCAGTCCTTATAAAACAAGCCAATTATCAAGCTTCAACGACCACAATTCATACGACACAAAGATATAATAAAAAGAAATGCCAGTTGTATTTCGTATTTCACCCGAATTACGAAGATGTGAAAAAGAATACCTTTGATAAAAGGCTGGCAGCCCAGATAGAGTAAGTCAAAATCCTCTGACATGGATGATGAAATCAGCTGCCCAATAGCTCCAGCTCCGACAGTCGGCGAACACGTCAGCCGCACCCTGCATGGTGTGACAGTGATCGTTACCTTCCTCAACCCTTAACGGGCCCCAAGAGGCCCCGCGATAACACGACTTGAGTATGCAGTCAGGGATTATTCTCCTTAGCTGGCACATGCTGGTCAAAGGGGACAGGACGAGCACTGCACGATATGGTACAGTGAATTGCAAAAAGCATTTCCGCAGCTATAGGTTATTGCGCAGAATCTGTCTGGTTTAGGAAGCTCGATATCGGTAATTAAATGGTGTACCCCGTCATCGCACGCCCGGTTGAACAGTTGATAGGATGTGTGGATAAAGGCAGATTACATTAACATGCAATTGGAGAACTACGATTTTCGATTGTATGGACATATTGAGAGCAATTTGAGCCAAGTATAATGCCGTCTTTCTCAGTTAAACTCAAAAGCAAACTCCAAAAACGGTTAAAGGGCCCGCAGAATAGTTACTGAATATTATGTGTAAGGTTGTATCATCCACCAAACGCGGAAACGAATGGTGAAGCTTGCCAAAAACGGAGGAAAAAAGAAGTGTGGATTATCGTCCAT